TGTTTTTCCAAGGATAAGAATCTGTGCTTCAACTTGATTGACTTAGTTTTTTGAAGAATGCCGAGGTCATTTGCATGTAAGCTAGACTTGTTTTGAGTAGTGCATTCAATAGACTTTGCCATGTGTTGTAGGACTTGACTTGCCTTGACCCCGACGTTTGAAGAACCAGGTGAGTGGTATTTTTAATAAGTTATGTATAAAAGATTTGATAAAGCCTTGTTTCGTTTTGATAAAAGTATTTGTTAAGCATGAATGATATCCCTATTTTATGAATTCTCAGCTTTTGTAATAGCAAGTTTTGATCTTTGCATTCATCTTCCTCATGTTCGTGTTCTTCAAGTTCTTCATGCTCATGTTCTTCATGTTTATCAAGAGGGAAACCCAGATTTTTCCCGACTTCACTTTTTAATGTGGCCATCAAGGCTACACCTCAGCAAGGAGGTGTGGGACCTCGGCCTAGACCTGGTAGCTGCCCAGCGTGTTTTTCCAAGGATAAGAATCTGTGCTTCAACTTGATTGGCTTAGTTTTTGAAAAATGCCGAGGTCATTTGCATGTAAGCTAGACTTGTTTTGAGTAGTGCATTCATAGACTTTGCCATGTGTTGTAGGACTTGGACTTGCCTTGACCCCGACGTTTGAAGAACCAGGTGAGTGGTATTTTTAATAAAGTTATGTTATAAAGATTTGATAAAGCCTTGTTTCGTTTTGATAAAAGTATTTGTTAAGCATGAATGATATCCCTATTTTATGAATAAAGTATAAGCTTTGTTTTGAATGGCGATGTATCAAGTAAGCTTTGTTTTGACGACGTTTTCAAAAAGTCCTTCGTGCTGGAGGACTCTAAACTTTCGCAGCACCCTTGATTTGTACCCAAGTGTTAAAGGGCTACGGGCTCTTGTAATATAGGTCCCTCGTGCTGGAGGACTCTAAACTTTCGCAGCACATCTTGTCTTGAAAGTCCCTCGTGCTGGAGGACTCTAAACTTTCGTAGCACCCTTGATTTGTACTCTGGTGTTAAAGGGCTACGGGCTCTTGTAACATAGGTCCCTTGTGCTAGAGGACTCTAAACTTTCGTAGCACCCTTGTTTGAGATGTCTATCTTGCTTTGTCTTGTTTTGCCACGGATGGTCTACCGCGTGGATATGTTTGCCGAAATGTTATTATTTGTAATATGTGATGCTAGTACGTATCCCTTGAAACTGTGAAGATTTGTTAGATGGACGAGGTCCATTCCTTGTCATATATATATGGAGTTTTGTCTTGTATTGTTTTGAAAGGATTTCGGCTATTATTCATGCAAACCCCTTTATTATTTATGTCATTCGCTGAGTATCCAAGCTCACCCTCTCCATTTATATGTAGGTGATGAACAAGAAGGCGGTGACACCTAGATGTGATTTCTGGAGCTTGTTTTGGGTCTTATTTATGTCGGCTTAACCTGCACCTATGCTAGCAGTCTTGAAAATCATGCTTCTCGACTTGTAATATTTGTATTTTGAACACATCGGCTGAGAAGCCTTTTGATCAAGATGTATGTTTTTGTGTGATTGTTATGTCGGCAAAGAAGATGTCGGCAACCTGGCAAACTGTGTACTTAAATCTGTAATTTGTACAATTTGTTTATGTTGGCTTGTGGAGCCCTTTGCTAATACGAAAAATGTAACTCGCACTTTGCTTGTTTGTTATTAAGTTATAACCCATATGTGAATGGTTACTATCTCACGTGACTTATGCACTGCTCTTATGGACCACTTGTATTTTGGATTATTGCTTCCGCACTTGTGAGCCCCATATATTTAGACTCTGATTGTGTGCGAATTTTGAAAGTTGGCCTTCAGTAATCTCGGATTACTGGCCATCACGGCACCAACCTACTAGGGGCGGTTTGGGGTCGTGACAATTGAAGCACAATTAGCATTGTGGCTTAATCTGATAATTTTTAGTTTGTGTCTAGAGTAGTGTGTTTATTGGGTTTTATCAATTTTTCGTATGCAAGAATTGGTGACCATGAACTATTACTGCAATGACACCATGCAGGAGAGTTTGCAATGGGGAAGAATGCACATATGGTGAAACGACATGTGTATGTATACCTCCTCCCCCGCCTATGTGTGTATTATATACAAATTACCAATAGATTCTAATAGTTAGACTTCATTCCCATAAAGTCCTATTGGAAACAAGTCCTAGTAAAATCGTTGCTAAAAATAATTTGAGATGATTTTTTGCATATGTCGCTAAAAATTGACAATAAATAATTTTTTTGTCACGATTTTTATAAATTGTCACTAAAACTTACAATTAGTGACGTTTTCGTGTGACGAATTTTTTAAACTGTCGCTGAAAGTTAAGAATTAGTGACACTTTTTTGTAATGATTTTTTTAAACTGTTGCTAAAACTTACCAAAACATATAATTAGTGACATTTTTTGTGACAAAATTTTCAAAATATCGTTGAAAATTAACAATTTGTGACTTTTTAATAGTGTATGATGAAAAATGTCATTAATTATAATATGTCATATTCGACAATAAATCTACCTATTAAGACCTACATGTAAATCCCCCTAATTAAATATGCAACTAAACTAAAATTTATGTTACAAAGTTAGAAATTATATTATAAAATCAAGGTTAATATGTAGTTTAATTGATTAATTTGTTATCGTTAAAAACAATGTGTAAACAGAAGAGAGAAAATAGTCGACTGGTACTAAAGTCAATTTCTAACTACCATTAATGGAGTTTGCATTGCATTTTAGTTGAAAAACACATGGGGGCAAAGTGGATTTTACACTAATTTTTAAAACAAAAAGTTACATAAATTTCTTCAAGATCCAACATTAAATTGATCCACATGAACTAATAGTTAGCAAACCAAAGAAATGACTTCAAAAAACTTGAAAATTAAAAAGAAAAAATAAGTAATAAGTCCTATTTTGTTCTTAAAATTACTATTGAGTCTTATAAAGTTTTAATATGGACAATTAAGTCTTATTTCTCATAAATTGTTTCCAAAAAGTTCATTTCTCAATAATGATATATCTTATTCCAATTTTACCCCTAATTTAATATGAACAATAATTCTATTTTGTTTTAAAATTTGTTATTGAGTTATATCAAATTTCAATATTAATAATAAGTCCTATTTTCTTTTTTGTTTCATAAATTGTTTTTAAAAAGTTTCATTATTCATAATATTATATTTTATTTTTATTTTCTCATTAAAATATGAACCAAAAATTGCATAAATAATTTATTTTATATAAAATTTTATAATAATGCTATTTTTCATTGTTGAAATTAAATGAATTTTCATAAACAAAAGTATAAGCATAAGATTCATCAACTATTTCATACATTGAAAAATATATATTTCTTTGGAATTTTAATAGAATTTTGTCCTTTTAGATTGTTTACACTAAAAAAATTGATAATTTGAAATATCAAAAAAAATGCATTTTACTATAATTGTTTCGATCCAACTATTATTTATGATTTTTCTAATAGAATATTAATTATTTTTACAATTAAAATTTTCAATTTTAATTGAGTTAAAATTGTTGCTCATATTTAATGAGAAAGGTAAAAATGAGATGAGGAATAAACCTTTTGGGAGCATTTTATGACAAATAGGACTTAGTTGTTTGTATTGAAATTTGATAGAACTCAATAGTATTCTTTAGAACAAAATAGGACTTATTAATAATTTTTCCAATAAAAAAAGTACTGATACATACCTAAATGCATTTTCCTCTTCAAATGTGAACCAATCTTGTTCCTTGAATTGCATCTCCCTCTCAAGTTCAACTGATATTACTTTCCAAATCCTCTCTCGTTCCTCCTTTGATTGCACCAAACTCTTCAATTTAACAGCAATATTCCCCAGAAACATCAGTTTATCTTTCTCCAAATGAGCTGCCATTTCTCTCAAAAATAGTTTTTTCTCCTTTCTCTACAAAAACAAAAACTAAATGATAATCACCAAAAGGCATCAACCTCAGTTAAGTACAACGGTATTCTGCAAGCTCTAAACAAGAACACATATTTCCAAATTGAGAATAGACAAAAAAAGGCCGATGATCTATTTTTCATGGACTCGTCTAAGGATGTAAGGTGCGAGTACAGTATTTGACTCACCTAATATTCAAAACAAGGTCAAGGATCCAAAAATGGGTGCTAATACTAAGACACATCCCTTGAATCAAAATAATGGAAAGAACACTGACCAGAAAGAAAAGGAGCCCACAAGATAGATCATCGATAAGTCGAATCTAGAAAACTAATGACAACCTACTGATCTCATGACATAGGTGTTGGGCCCAATTTAACGGCCCAAATTTGTTGAACATACTTTAAAATTAAATTTGACAGAGACACAATAATTGTATAGCAAATCAATTTATGAAGCATGCAGACATTTCATTATAAAAAAAATTCCCTATTATATGTATCTATTATGCTAATTCCCAGACAACGCTAAATCACAAACCATTAATAAAGGCAAAGTACACTAAAGGACATAGAAAATCTAACATCTAACAATGAATAGCTCAAACTCCGACCAATCAAACTGTAGATAACAAACAACAATAATATGCAATGACTCCCATACAAACAAAAGGTGATAGTCAAGTTCTGAGCAAATACTAGAACTCGAATTAAAAGAAAAAAACTATACCTCTTTCTTGTTCTTATTGTATTGATCGACAGCGAATTCTGCAATAGTTCGAGTATCATCATCGTCAGTAGCTCCAATAACATCAGTGAGATTCATGAAATTCATACACTGAGCATCATACTTAACGCCACTGGATTTAAGAGACGTCCCATAAAATGCCTCAAAGATCTTGCGGCCTTCTTCATCAACGTCAACAGTCAATTGATTGTGTGAAGGAAACCATTCCTCCACCGACCTCATGCAACACGAAACCCGCAGCATTTTGTCCTCTCTCTCTCTCTCAGTACTGCTTAAGTCATGACAAATAAACAATAAAAAATAAAATGCTAAATGCTAAAAAAGACGAAGTGAAATTATCACAAACAAATACAAAGAAAAATTTATTGTAAGGAATTGCAAAGTCATGCATTTGAATAATACTTTCAAGAATAAATGATACAACTGTTGGAAAATAATGGTTTTTCGGCAACTTTAATTCAAAATTAAAGTGGGACCCAACTGCCAGTTGAGGTGGATCTGAGTAGTTTTGCATTCTCTCAAGTGAGGAGATTACAATATAAAAATGATGGGCAAAAACCATTGAGGTGTGAATGAGAATTGTCTCGTAAAGTGGACATCAACAAAAGTTGGACTTAGATTTGGACTTAGGCCTCGTTTGAAAACAGACTAATTTAGTAACTTTTTGGCTATTGGCTAAACTATGAGCTAAAAAAAATTAGTATGTTTGAAATGACTTTTTGACTTTTTACGAAAAGATGTGCAAAAAGTAGAGAGAAAAGAAAATATTTGACTTTTTGGTATGGGTTGTTGGCTTTTTAGCTAATTTAGGCCAAGTTTGGCATGTGGCGAAAAAGCAAAAAAGTCAAAAAGTTATTCAAAAAGTTAAAAAGTTATCACTATTTACCAAAAGTCAAAAATTATGGCTACACAACTCTCAATCCTAATTTTCCCCTACACACTAATTTATACAATTTTTTAATACACATTTTTTCATAAAAAGTCAAAAAGTTAACCTAAACAACCATATTTTTTTCCTCTACTTTTTAGTCCAAAAAGTCAAAAAGTACACTTATTTAAGACATCCCAAACAACCCCTTAGTAACTTTTTGGCTTTTCGGCTAAAAAGTTTGGTTGCCAAACGAGGCCTTAGTCTTAGTTTAGACTGGGCCTAGACTTGTACTTATGCTGGTGCATGTGTTGAGTTTAGTCTTGGACTTAGACTTGGACTTGATCTTAAACTTGAGTTAAGTTATGTTGTGTTGGGCTTAGCTTGTGCATGTGTTTGAGAATTGGGTTTGGATCGGGTTGTGACCCAACATTGGTATCCATTGTGTGACCCATCTAGTTGGTTCATTCAAACATCATTATATACATATTTATTTGTATATATTAAGCACATGGGAGGTTAAGACCTTTGTAACTCTCATCTTTTGATGATAGAATTGATGACCATATTAGTGGCCATAGGTTTTCAACTTTTGTAACTTTAGCCCTAATGGCTAGAACTGATGGCCATGGTTAATGGCATTTGATAAGCCTATTGATGTATAGCCTTTATGGCTAGGGATTCCCCTACTTGCATAAATAGAGGCATTTCCCCTCTAACTTGAAATATATAAGTTTTGAGAGTTTTTTGATGGAAAATAGAGATGGTCTTTTTGATAAAGAGTTGGAGATGGTTTTATACCAAAGAAAATTTTCCTATCTTTTTTTGCTAGTCCATTCTTTGGTTCTTGTTAGAAAGAGTGCAATCATTATCAAGTTCGCCAATGCTATTCAGAAGGTGCTTCTGCATTAGCTAATTTTGCCTGTCGTATCCTGGGAGACAGAAGTCGACATACCTCCAGCACCCATGGTGAGGCGACTAATCTGTTTTAAGGACACTGTGGTATCACACAGGGTTCGGTTTGCTTCCTACTACTAGTTTTATTTTATTATGAATTTTTATAAATTTTAGCATGTTCTTATTCTGAAATTCAAAGTGGTTGTTCAATATAAATCTATTAATTTGATTTAAGTACACAATTTCAAAACAACAACTATATAGACCAACGCAAATACTTGATATTTGGCATATACAAAAAATAATCAACAGGGGGCCACCCAAGGTTTTAAAAAGCGACCGCAACATTTATTAACAAAAAAAAAAAAGGCGACCGCGACCGCAACCGTTACGTAACGGTTGTGGTAGCTATCGGTACCCGTTATTGCCGCTATCCTGGTGTGACGGAAATTTATAAGTGTAACGGTCGTTTTGGTGTTACATAATGGCCCGTCAGACATTGTTACACCCTTATACAATATTCTGAATAGTTTCATTTTTTCAAAAAAAAAAGAACAAACACTCAAGTAATCCAAGCCCAAAGAAAACAATTTATATGAATTTTTTTTTCTTAATAAATTTTTTTTAAAAAAAAAATTTTATGGCACAAATTTATTTTATAATCCTTTCATTTAATAATTGTGAATATTTTTTTATTCTATTAGTTCAGGTATTGGTAAAAAATAATTTGTAGACATTTAAAATCAATTATTCTTAAAATTATTAACTATTAAAAATTGAAATAAAATGTAAAAAGCTCATTTTATGGTGATTTAAAAATATGAAATATTTTGGATCATACTTAAAAATTAATAAAAATTGATCAAAATTTATTTTAAACCCCAATAAATGTGATTCTGGAAAGAAAAAAAAAATGTGTATTGGTAAGTTTTCTTTAAATTGTGTGGAAAATTAAAAAAAATTACGGTCCCAGTTACCGCAGCCTTTACACCCCGCAACCGCTATTGCGTCACTGCAACCATTATGGTGACCGCAACTGCTTTTCAAAACCTTGGGGCCACCAGTTCAGTGGTTAAAAAATCAACCTACTAACCTTGAGTTTATGGGTTTAAAATTGAGGGCAGTGTTGCTTTTGTGTATACCAAAGGTTAAAGTTGTACGAATCTACCCTTCATACCTCTATCTAATAAGAACTAAACGGGGAGTGCGTTTGTTTACAATATTAAATAGAGGATAACATATATGGGGCTCACTTGTATTTTAATCACATGTTTGATTGTGAGATAAGTAGGGGAGATTATAAGTGAGGAACTATAAAGCACGAACACCCCTCCAGAGGTAGCGTATGGGTGTCCGATGCGTGTTAGACACAAACACGCGTCGGATAAGCAGTGGACATGTGTCGGACACTCTACCTAACGTGTCCCCCTTTCTTTTTTTGAATTTTTGTAGCCGGACACGCTTGGGACACTCTTGGACACGTTATGGACAGAAAAAGAGAAACCTTAACCCATTGAAGACACACACACACAGAGGGTGAAAAACTTGTTAAAGCCCTAGATCTAGCTTAGATCGAGGTATGCTCTTCGAATCTGTTCGTCTCTCTTCGAGTCTGTTCATCTCTCTATTCATCTTCTTTGAATCTATTTGTCTCTCTTCGAATCTGTTCGTCTCTCTCTCTCTCTATGTGTGTATTCGACCCCTCTCTTGCTTTCGTGTGTTCAAATGTCTCTCTCTCCTTTGTGTCTCTCTCTCTCTCCTTCTTTGTGTGTTTTCATTTTTTTTCCTCTCTTCTATTTGTTTTTTCTTTTCCTTTTTTTTCCCCTTCTTTTCCTTTTTTCTATTTTTTTTTTTTTTTGGATATTCTTGTTTGCTAAACATTAACATACATAGAATACATTATTTTTATTTGTTGAAAAAAAATTAATTTGTGAATAATAGTTGATATTAAAATAAATAAATAAATAATATAAATAAATAAAAATAGTATATATTTTTTAATTTTACATATAATGAATAAAAAAAATTATATATATTAAGCATGTCTCCAGCGTGTCGTGTCTCCCATTTTTTAAAAATTTCCGTGTCCGTGTCCGTGTCCAGTGTTCGTGCTTCATATGTGAGGAAGATCAGGGCCCTACATGTTTCTTAGTCCAATGCTTGTTTAGCTTGTAAAAAAACTTCAAATAAGTTCAATACTAGTACGAGGGGTTAAATGGAAAATAATGAGAGATTAAAAAATACTATAATTGTGATTGGGGGATTAAGCCTTTCAAGATATGATCACCATAAATGGAGATGCTAGAGGGGCAGGGAAGAGAAAGACCGAGGTTGGCATGAGATGAAATAGTGAGAACTATATGAACTTATTTAACTTAAGTGAACATATAGCCCTTGGTAGAGTTGAATGGCAAAAAAAAAATTCATGTAGCTGACTCCACTTGATTGTGATACAAGGCTTAGCTTGGTTTGGTTCATCCAACAATAAAAAATAATCATATGATTTTATCATATCCTAACCAAACATAATACCTCATTCCCTCTATTCAATCCTTTATCCCATCTATTTACCTCATGGTATAGCTTATCCTCCATAATTATATTCATAATTCTA